TTTTTTTTTTTTCTCGTTAGATTTCTTGCCGCTGCTCTTGTGTCACATTGTAGTTGTGGAGTGAATAATATCTGATGACCCACTGGACCATGGTATATTTAAACTAAGTCGGCTAATGTTGGGTTTAATGGACTTTGGAAAGTTCGGTAAATTTATTGGCAGCAAATTTACGAATGTGAAATTTATGAAACTGTAAACTCTGCAATTAAAAAAAAGAAAAGTGACATGAAAAAGATCCATCCATCCATTCTCTTCACCTTATCCTTATCAGGGTCTGGAGCCTATCCCAGCTACCACAGGGCAGGGAACACTCTGTCGCAGGGCTAACACAGAGAGACAACCATTCGCACTCGCACACCTATGACCAGTTTATAATGACCTATAAACCTCCAGTTTCCAGTTAGATTTCACTGTCACATATGACTCCAGAATGCTTGCAGAGCAGTTCGTGGTCAACTGAATGACTGCAAGGTGTCCAGATCCTGTGGATGCAAAACAAACACAAATAATTACCCCTTCACCAAAGTGCTTGACATGTGGTATAAAATTTGTGCTAACGTGTCGTGTTCGGTTTCTACTAAGCATGGCGCTGTGCATTATGGCCAAACATCTCTGCTTTAGTCTCACCTGTTCAAAAGAAATTGATCAGGAAAGTCATGCAGTTAGTTCAGATGTAACACTGGAAACTCAGCTTTGCTGCCATGTTCTTTTTATAGAGAAGAAGCTTTTCTCAGAGACCCTCCTAAACAAGCTATCCTTGTTTAGTGTTTTTCTATCATATGTGACTGAGGCCTTTAAAGTCTATGATGTACTAGAGCTCTTGGGTGATTTTTGCAGCTTCACTGAGCATTGTACAATCTGACCTTGGAGTGAATTTGCTGGGATTGTGGTGTTGTATTAAAACACAACTAAATGCTCCAGAGGGGCAGCACGGTGGCACAGTGGTTAGCACTGTTGCCTCCCAGCAAGAAGGTCCGCCATCTGTGTAGAGTTTGCATGTTCTCCCTGTGTTTGTGTGGGTTATCTCTGGGTACTCTGGCTTTCTCCCACATTCCAAAGATATGCAGTTAGTTGGGATAGGTTAAGTGGCAACTCTAAATTGCCCATAGGTGCAAATCGTTGTCTGTCTGTATGTGTTAGCCCTGCAGCAGATTGGCGGCCTGTCCAGGGTGTATCCTGCCTCTAAGACAGCTCTAATAATATAATAATGTCTATATATAAAATATGTGTTAATATAATGTGTTTAGCACATTATAGTTGACATTAATAGTAGAAAGTAATGTGGATTTGGCTGCCCAGTTTAATTATGCAGCATCACAGTGCTGCTTGTTAAGAAAATGTACACTTTATGAATCTGCTTTACCCAAGGATTTTTATATTTAAGTAACACTAGGCCAAAAACAGTGTGGAAAACTGTTTTGGTTAACCAAAATAAAGGAAACTGGAGTTTAAAGAGAAAAACGAGAAGTGTATTCCCAAGACTAAAGTATAAATATGTACAAAGTGCCCTCAGTTGTGTGTGTTTGTCCCATAATACCTGATGTAAACGTCTCAAACTTTGGGTCTGACATACACCATCTGCATTATAATAACGAAAAGCTAAAGCTAACAATGGAGCAATGTGAAAGAATAAAAACGAAAGTAAATGTGAGCTGAACTGAACTGAGAACAAAAGTTTAAAATAAACTAAAACTACTGAAAAAAAAAAGTCAAGTATATACCATTTGTTTAAAACTGATTTTTTAATTTGCACAAATATGAAAAAAAGGCTTCTCTGACTTTAAAGGGAGCTCAGCGGCGCACTGTGGGGACAGACAAAAGGCAGACACAAAGAAGAATATGTGAAAATGAAGCAGCGGCAGAGAAATCTTGACTTTGAGTACTCAATGGCATCTTTTATTCAGTGTTAAATGTTTTTTATGAACCTCAGCAAAGATGAGTATAATGACATCTCTATTGCTGACAAAAAAAAGGAAAGTTGACAAAATTGCTGTATGCTGTGGAGTGAATATGTACTAGAATTTTAAAATACAACTCTGAGGACTTCTCAAGAAAAGTAAAGTGAGTTCTCTTCGTAAAATCAGCGGCGTAGCCAGAAACTGTAAAAAAGTAAAGCCGACCACAAGTGAGCCATGATATAAAAGGTCTCATTTATTCATTTATTACACAGGATATTTGTTAATAAAACATCTGCAAAAAATAAAATCAACCTCACTCTGTAGATCTCGTGTTATAAGGGTATATGCGACCAGGATAATTTTAAAGCACAAAAGCTCAGACTTTCTTTGCATAGACTGCACCACCATTAGTTCCCATCAAACACTCGTATCAGCTTAACAAGGCCGCACAGTACAAAGCACTGACCCCGTTTAATTCGCAATCCTCTAGAGTTTACTTACCAACGGGCCCCTTGTGTTTGGATTCCTCTTTGTAAATGGAAGGTAAGAGCATCACTAATTGCGCTAATTGACCTGAACTCTTTTTGACTATGATAGTTTAGCTGTCGCTCTGCAGCATTACAGTTTGTGCAGAGTTTAAAGGGGTGTCTGGAACATCTGGAGGCAACGGTGCTACATATTTCTATTTTCCTCCTACTTTTTTCTCATTTGTGAATGTAAAGTTCCTCTTTGTTTTATTTACAGGTCAAAAAAACAAAGGTAAAATATTTTCAAAAATACACCATAGCTGATTTTATTTCTCTAAATTGGTCCATAGAGTAAATGATGAAGAGAGCACAAGGTTATGAGCTATCTACCTAGTTGTCTAGGGTGCACATCAAATTAACAAATGCCTTAATCCCTACAAGTAATCCCTCAAGTAATCACCATAATTCATAATTCTTTGAGTTCATTTGAATGTCAGTGTTTATTTACATAATCAGGTTTGGGGGTAAAAAATCAAAAGTGCTATAAACATCGTGGAAGGTGTTTCTAATCATGTTTCGAGTGTTTTCGTCCCTTTATGGCTGAGCTGATGGTGAAGCTGATCATCAAAGTGCCTTTATAGTCAGTAATCCAAGACGTAGACATATTCTTACCTCACACAGGTATATAAAGAAAAGAGGAAATTAATATAAAGAAATCCATTTCATCCAGCAACGCTGCCAGCGAACGTCTGTGTAATTAAATTTTGTCAAAATTAAACTGATTTTGTGTTATAAGACCAGACTGATGTTGCCATTTAGCTTTTAGTTAGACTCTAATCTGAAAAATGGTTTTTCTTTCAGCAAATTGAATTATGGATAAAAGTTTCCACCTCAAAAACACACCAAAAAAAGAAAACGTAAGGTATCAAGTATCACAAATTACACACCATACCATCATATCCAGTGTCCACGCTTTACCTTGCAGAAATTCAAGTGATGGACCATCTGAAGTGGGGAAAAGGCTAGAATCTATGTTGCTTAAACTGCAAGTGGTCAATAAAATTACATAGAAAAGCAGACTGGCTTGGGAAAAGAACTGCATTTTCTTTTGTAATTGATTATAAGGATGTCTGAGACAAAATCACATTTAAAAAAAACCCTTTTGAGTCACACCTTATGTGTCCATTGAGTCTTTCTGTGAAGTTTCAGCCCACAGTTGTTCCAGAAATCTGAGAAATCTGCAGACACGTCAAGTAATCTCTCACAAAGAGGTCTTTTATTCCAGCAGTGCGCACAGCTGCCCCCCATAATGTCCGAGTTTGTACGTGTTCCAGGTCTCCTGTCCACCATCGACACAGGCCACATTCATGATTAAGTGCAGCGTCCTTTTTAAAAGGGGTCAGTGAAAGCAGCACCTGTCAAGTGGCGTATTTCAGCTTAGGTGTCTGTGAATTACAGGAGAGACTGGAAAGAGAAGCGATCCCAGTGGTGGTCGCGGTGCCTTGGCTCTCCACAAACATCGGGTCCAGGCAAGCGACTTTGGCAGCGAAAAAAGCGTGAATACAGTGAAGCACTGCGAAGAGGTTTGAGAACTCCAGCTCCTGAGAGAGACAGAAAATCAATCCTCAAATCACACACGAGCGATTAATTTTTATAGAGCCGTGCTGCTTTGAAAATCTTGTTGACTTATTTTCTGGCATGCAACATTAAACATCCGTCAAATTTAATTACCTTTGCTTCGATAGATTTGGAGTCTTGATTTTGGAATAAAAACTTGATCTTGCTTTTCCCGTCGTCAGACGACCCTTTTAGTTGGGAGAACTTGTATCTCCACAGCACTGCCTGAAACGCAAACGCAACAACATAACTAAAGCAAAAACAACATGTCTTTATTTTCCGCGCTCAGATTTGTGAATCATTTCTGGTGTCACTTTTTTCATGAATAAGTCACGTTAAAATCCACGCGGATCCGGTGAGAAATGGGGCACGTCAGCAGATCAACCAGAAACTGGAGTGTTATTTTTACCACTGGGGAAATTTAACCAGCCACAGTAATTTCACCTGCATAGCAGAGCTTCGGTGATTCAATTAATGCCGAACCGAATAAACAAAAGCTGTGCATTGACTCAGTTTCATGGCTCCTCTTGTAGACAGCTAGCCAAGTTATTTGCACATTCCTATACTGTTGAAACAACTCCCACCAGCCTAATTAAAACTGCAACATCAGTCTGATTAAATCTTTTAGCCCTGCAATACAGATGAACATTTTTCATTTAACTTAAAGCAGATATTCACGAAGCATTTTCGGTGTGCAGCCACAGAAGTGTCACCTCTCCTCTGCTTTGCCTTTAAAATTCAATCTGGCTCCCGCTAACCTTGTCAGAGGTGCCGATATCACCATCTCCTTCATGTCAATCACTGCATTTCATATTCTGTATCTTTCTTGCATGAAAGATAAAGAACAAAATCAGCTTCCTCCTAAAGCCACACCCGACCAGTGCAATGTTCATTTTTAATCCTGCTTTTACTTTTCCTCTATTTTGTACCACAAAATCAACACATTAATTTGCAGTTCATTTACAGATGAAAAGAAAGAAGTAAATATTGATACTCTATGATATGATTAAATTACCACAAATCCTGAACTAAATCAAAGCATCTCCATTTTGACTGCATGAAGCATTGAACCAAGGCTTGCACATTACTGTGTCAGTATTACAATCCAAAATATAGCAGTACGAGTGCTTAATGACCTGTATAATGAGAATGTTTGTAACAATCATTTATATTGCTTATTTGTTTTAAATATTCAGTTTATTGAAATCAGATATTATTTTTCATTCACAGGGCAACTGTAATGCTTGATAAGGAAAAGCTGCTTGCGGTGAGTAGGTCATATACAGACTATATGAAAACCTATCATTTCAGTCTTGCTGTTCATTTCAGGGACAAATGATCTAATTAACTGCAAAATAACTCACCGCCCACTTTATTAGGCGAGTGTATACCCTCCTAGTTCCTTTCAGTATTGCACTAATTCCTCAGAGATTTGGTCTGTATTCACATGACATCATCACACAGTTCGGCAGAGTTGTCGGCTGCGCATCCATGATGTGAATCTGCCGTTCCACTGCCATCCAAATGTGCTCTATTGGATTGCGATCTAGTGACTGTGTTGTGGCCATTTGAGTACAGAGAACTCACTGTCATGTTCAAGAAACCAGTTTGAGCTTGTTTGAGCTCATGGTGTGTTATCCTGCTGAATCGATCAGAAGATGAATAGACTGTAGTTATAAAGGGATTGACAGGTTTAGCAACATTACCCAGGAAGGGTTTGGTGAGTAAATGATCAGTTGATATTAAGGAATCCAAAATGTGCTGAGAAAATACCCCCCAGACCATCAACACCACTACCACCAGCCTGAGCGACTGATACAAGGAAGCATGGATCAATGCGTTCATATTGTTTACGTCAAATTCTGGCATTACCATCTGAATGTCAGAGCAGAAGTCGAGACTCTTCAAACCAGGCAACGTGTTTCCAGCCTTCTCTTGTCCAGTTTTGGTGAGCCAGTGTGAACAGTAGCCTCAGTTTCATGTTCTTAGCTGACAGGAGTGACACCTGGCGTGCTCTTCTGCACGCTGGTTGTAACGCGAAGTTATTTGAGTTACTGTTCCCGCTGCATCTGCTGCATCCTTTGATGCTCTTTACCCCAAAGAACTGCCGCTCACTGGATATTTTCCTCTTTTTTGGACCTTGTACTATAATCTCTAGAGACAATTCTGTGGGAAAATCCAGGTTTTTGAAATACTCAGAGCAGCCAATGCTCAAAGTCACTGAAATCACCTTCCTTTCCTATTCTGATACTCAGTTTGAACTTCTGCAGATCCTGTTATGGGCTGATTAGATATTTTAGCTACCAAACAGCTGAATCTAATTAAGTGGCCGGAGAAACAGAACAAAATAAACAGCAAGAAGATTTTAAAGATGTGATGTTTTCAACGTTTCTCATTGATTGCATACTTTGTCTCCAGTAACCAAAGTTATCTAACATAGTGACCTAGTGCTTGGTATTTGCTCTGATTATTTTCTATTGTTTTGTATAGGTTAAACAGCACTATATAAGTGCCTCAGTTTTTTCTCTCTCCAAAAATAAGCACCAGAGTGACTGCATCAGTCATCAGTTTAACAAGAGAAAGAGTGTCAGCGGGAGCCATGATTTCTTTGTTTCCTATATAAATCACTGTTACAACTGTTTCTTCCAGGGTGTACTTCTTTTTTATGATACACGAGTGGCCCTTTGATTTAAAATCTCCAAAAAAAAACAACCATCAAGAAAAAAATGATGTTTTTTTCTCATGTGTTTTTTTCACTCAGCCTGCAAAAGTGGAGGATGTGAATATTTGTGTTGCATGAGTGTAATAGTGCACTGTAGGCTGAAAAGAGACTGTCTTACACACAAGTTCTAGCCACATTTACATTATACATGTTCCTGTGTTTGCCATATTGTCTCCATATCTTATCTTATCTACTGTACTGATATCATACTGATAGCTTTCACCTTTTAATTGTATGTTTCATTAAGATTTTTTATGGAAAGGCAAATTCTGATGAATAAACACCTCAGTTATATTTCTGCCTTTTTTCTTCCTCACTGAAATTCACATTAACCCGTTTTTAAATCCTGCCTTTTCCAGCTTTCAATCATGGAGTAATTCTGCTCCATGTATTTGTCTGCACTTGCAGTTTACATTTGGATTGTAATTTGTGCATTTCTGCCTGTAAACAATATTCTGGCAACATTTTTTATCATCCCTGGGGGACACTGGAGCTTCATATTGCAGGAATTAGGGCCAAAATCTTACAGAACAATATGTCAGTGCTTGTGTCCTGCTCATCCACATAATGTGCACCAGTTGAGTAGTCTGCTCTAAGACCTGGTGAAAGGCCAAAATGAACTGCAGGCAGGAGTGAGACGTTTGAGCTTGGGGGAACCAGCTGTCAAAACGAATGTGCTCAAACTCAAAATGCACACAGTGCAGAATAAGTTAGCAGCACCATAAAAAGGAAAAGGGGAGGCTGAGGTGCCGTGATTAGGTTCATCAAACTGGGTAAAATAATGAATCTCCTATTGTAAGTGTCCCGTTTTTGTATTGATTACAAAACACTGTCCTTCACTCACCTTTGACGCAGCATCAAAGCACACAAAGCCCATGCCGAAGTCAATAGTGAGTCCCATAAGGTGGCTTTCCATAATACAGGCGTACGTTTTACACTGCAGAACAAGAAAAGAAGATGTCAACCACAGGAGTTACATAAGGACACAAGAGCATCTTTGCTCTTCTGCTAAAAGTCATGTGGGCGTTATCAATCTCTGCACTAAAACAACTGAGAAGGAACCGCATGCAAGATTTAAACTGTCACAATTCCCGGTACGTTTCCTGCCGTTCAGGCGCAGACCTGTATCCTCTCCACCTCCAGGAAAGTGGCCATCTGGAAAGCTTTCTCCCAGATCAGCAGCTCACACTCCAGCTCCACGCTGAAGAACATGTCCTCCCCGCTCTCTGTCTGAACACTGAAGCAGTGCTTCCTCTTGTCCAGAAGGTCACTGTCCTAAAATAAGTACAGCAAGGCAGTCTCCTGAAGCGAATTACTAAAGCATTTTAGCAGACAATGTTTTCCTCTTATGGGTCTTTGCATAGCTTTACATAACCTAAATTGTACAGGCAGTCTAAGGTCAGCCTACTGTATATCTGATTGAATATGTGAATCTATATGAATTAGGTTTGCCATAATGAGTTTCTAGATAATGAACTCAAGATAAATTCCCACTATGAAATTCAAAGTGACCTCGAACCTGGAGAGAATGAACAATGAAATGTAAACCTTGAGTGTCTCTGTGGGACTGGAAAAGAACACATGCAAATTAATAAGTGAGTTATATAAGGGCATTCCTCAGATTCAGTTTGCTACTTAGTATTCTCAGTGTATCCGATCTGAGAGATGCTTCTGTAAATGTTCAGGGAAGCAGATTAAAAGAAGGACCGACGTACCTTTAAAATCTTGCACATTATCTCGTACACAGTAAAGCTTTTCTCTGCTCTCGTCCAGTCCCATGTTGTCACCTGAAAATGTCACATCCAATTTTCAAATTTTATTTGAGGAATGTATTTGCTTTGGTAGAAATACTTTTAAATAATATTGCAATTATTTGCAAAAAAAAAACAATGTCAGGACAACATAAAGATAAGTTTGTGTTTCATTCTTGAAATATAAAATCAAATAAAGAGCCGCTATATTTACTATAAACTCCAAAAACTGCAGTTCCTCTAATGACCACTTGAGGCTATCTCCAAAAGAGGGGCCAATCCCCATAGAAAGTTTACAACAGAAAGACACATGGATATTGACTTGGCCATTTTTCAGCCATCCTGTATTAGATTTGCTGATGTGATTGGGATCCCTGTCCTGTTACATGATCCAGTGTAACAGGACAAACTTTAGCTTCCAGAGTCAGACTGACATTCACGATGACTCAGTGACTGCAGGGTACCCAAATCATCACCCCTCCACCACCGTGCTTGACAGTCAGTATGAGGTGTTTGTGCTGATATGCTGTGATGTTGCACATTGTGGGTAACGTCTCCACTTTGGACATTGTCCCAGAAGTCTTGGAGTTTGTTCAAATGCAACTTTGCAAACCTAAAGCTGCCATGTTCTTTTAGAGAACAGAGGCTCTCTCCTTTCATACTTACTGAGTCTTTTTCTATTTGTATTATCATGAACATTTTTTGCAGTTTCTCTGAGCATTGCATGGTCTTATCATGTAGTAAATTTGCAGGGGCATCCACTCCTGGGAAGACTGGCATTGCTGATGATCAGTTCATTGTTTAGCAGCACCTGGCTCCTACCTATTCTATAGATTCCTACAGTGATACTAATAGGTAATATCATGCTGGCTCTAAAAAGTTTATATAGTCTGTTGTACTGAGCAAGAATTGTTTTTACTGTAATCTTTTACCCACTGATATAAAACAGTTGGTTAATGTTATGTAATTTAGAACAAATCCGAGGTTACACTGTAAGTAATAACACAACAGATAAACTCATTTATTAATCTTTTACACTTTAACGTTTACATTTTTGGTTTTGAAAAGTCTACAGAAAAGAAGCCACCAACCTATACTCTTTATAGTTTCATAGAAATGTTTGAAATCCAAAGCCCTCAAGGCTTGCCGTGCCCATCCACAGATTTCTAAAACATGACTGTAGCCATTTGTGTCCACAGTTATTGATGAATGGTTGTCGGACTCAGCTGTCTCCTTGCCACGTGAATGGAAATATTTGTCACAGGTAACTTCAACAATAAAGAATCTGGTCGTCACTGCTGAATAGGCAGGCTCCTACATCCCACCATCTATTCACATTAGCATTTTCCATTTATATCAGCACATTCACATTGAGAAGGCAATTTCAGTTATCTATCAATCTTTTCTCATCTCCCGGACCATCGACAGCTTATCCCTCTTGTCATAATCACCTAAGTGGCTGGCAGAATGTAAACAGATTTAATGATCGCCATCAATCAAGTGAAAGATCAATGCAGCACAAATGATTATGAGTGAGCTGCTTCCTTTTTGCCTAAGCATTTTCTCCCTAAACAATACATTAGCATCAAATGAAAATCTCCCGATGGAGCTGAATGACATCCATTCAAATGCAGACGCTGGCAGGAAAACTTACAGGAGGTGCTGAAAACTTGAAGAGGGAGGAACCCCTCAAAGCGAGGAACTTTGGTGAATACATTCGGTCCTGAACGGAGTCCTGCTCCTTCTCGTCAACCCAGCCCATGTAGATAATCTATCAGAGGGTAAAGACGACAATAAAAAGGCATGTTATTTTATGCCACTCTGTAAAATCTACTAAATAGTTGTTAAAAAAGCTCTAAAAACAGACTTTAGTCAGTTTAGTTTAGTGGTTATTCGGTGCTGCTATATTTGACCGAGTACAAATGACTCAATTGGAGCCTTTAGCTTGTACAGTAGTCATAAAAGCAGTGCACTGTAGTCTTTTAGAGAAATACTGACCTAATATTAAAGTTGAATAAACTTTATGGGTTTTATGACCCTTTAATAACAAACGATTTAAATTAAAATCTATTTTCCATCGAGCTCAGGCGTCTCAAACGTGTGGCTCCACGGCTACATACAGCTCTTTTTCCCATCTGCCTTTGGTTTCCTGTGGCTTTCATCAAAAATTAGATGAAAGGGAAAATAGCAGAGTTAATTGTTTAAAATTGTATTTCTCATCAAAGTAAAAAAATAAAAAAAAAAACCTATAAAAAAAACTTTTAAAAAACTTAAAAAAGTATGTCTATGTTCAAGGGTGTGTCCAGAACCCCACCATGGGGTGGCACCAGCCCCCCTGAAATATTACTTGGTGTATTCTTTCCACCAAAGCACTAGATCAGAGTACTGTTAATCTTGTGATCTCCAACACCATTAGAATGGAGCATATTAGCTCTTTAACAAGTACTTTAACGAGGTTTGATTTCCACGTTATTCTGCTTTTATTTTGAAAGCTTTAATTACTTGTTATTTCGTTGTTAAAATGTATTATAACAGATCAACAACAATATAAGTGATTAAAATCAGTCATCAACAGCAGCAATATGAAGATTTACATGTCAGTAATTCAATGTTCAGTAAATATTACGTATATGGCCCAGAAAGCGGTCATTCCACCTAATGAAAACATTTACTTTAGCTACTTTAAATATATTTTGAATATGTGACCTGTGCACTATTAAGCTACGTGGTAGGATTGTGGCTTTTCTTATTATTATTATTATTATCTAAATACTTTTTTTTCACTTTGCAAAACAATTTCCCAACACAAAATTATATTTGAACCCTTGTGTTTCTACACTGACTCAGTTTAAATACTCAGATTTCCTGTGGGCCCCCTGCTAACTGAAGCAGCCCCTGCCTTTAAATTAATTTGTTTTGCTAACATAAATTTATTTGCTGGCTTAGTGTATCTGTCGCTGGGTTTTAGTCAAAATGCGATTAAAACTGGCTAACCCCACACTTTTACTATTTTAAAGCTATTATATGTTTTATGCTATATATTTTATTTTTGAGCATTATTGATTATTATTGAGTCGTTTATACAAACACGTGCAGGACTCATTGAAGGAGTACACCCTGAACCTAGAGTTGCCAACGTCTCACAAAGCTAACTCTATAATTTCTTAAAAGCAAATAGAACATGTTATTATTCTAATAAAAATCCAAAAATAAAGTACCAAATTATCAATTATTATAAATAACCCAGTTCAGAATTTCCAAATTGGCCAAGATCAGTGAACAAACTGGTGACTGGTTTTCAGGGTCCCTGCATTTTGGACCCTGAGCTCTTTCTGAGTTCATGATTTGTTTTGGTTTTAAGAAATGATTTATCAGGTCTCTCCACTCTGCCTTCTTCCCTCATGTGTGTAGTTAAGTCCTCAGTTCTTTGTCACGTCGTCCTCTTGAGCTGCATGTTCCCTTTTACCTGTTTTCTCTTAGATTCTGAGTCTCCTGCATTTTTGACTCCAGCTATCTTAGTTTTTGCATTTTAGTTTTCCTGTGAGTTTTCCAGCAGTAAAGCTGTTTTGAGTTTAGTTCTGCTTCTAAATCCTGCAATTGGGTCCACACTCTGCCTGGTGCTGACCAGTGTTGTGTGTGTGACACGTAATTCTCGCGAAAGACGCTGGCTTGTTGTTTTACACTGTGGGTTTTTTTTTTGGAAAGATTAAACACATAAGCTACAAGGTATTAATCATTAAGCTTTAGAGATGTTGTAGGATTTTGTTATTTTTGGAAAGACTATCCTTTTCCCAATTTCCTGTCTCAATGCTGAGGGTGGTAGCTTCACGTTTAGCACAGAGAGTGAAATCAGAGTCTCAGAAAGGACAGCGAATAAGTGAATTTACTAAAATTACAAATTTTTCTTTTAGGATTGGAAATCAGTAGTCTTTCTTTTTTTCCAACAGATTGAAAAACCTGATAAATTAAGGTCACAAAGTAAACATAAAAACACAATATTAGAAAGCAACAGTTTATTAGATTTGCCCACAAAGGTTTACAATGCCTACAGGTGTTTAATACTGCAGTATGACAGGTTTAGTTACCCATTAAGCTTTTAAAAACAGCATTTAATAAATAGTTTATAGCATTTTGTCCCATTGCTTTAAGCAGACACAAGACTTTTTTTAGGGGTTATATTTAATAAGGGGCCATCATTGAGCTTTTGTAGTGACCTACTGCAGGTGTTAGTTGTCGTGGCCCCTGTTGTTAACCTAATTTGCCTTTTAGGACAATAAACTATTGAATTGAACTGAGCTGAAATATATATTTGACCATAGCTTCATATCACCTGTAAAGCTATAGTGACTAGTATTTGATTGTATTAGTGCATTTTTTCTTCTCTGATGAATTAGTTTAAAGTTTATTAATGTGAGTCAGAAAATTAACCCAAAAGTTTCATTTCTCACACTTTACGGATCTGTTTATGTGTCCAATTACACAAGTACACCTTTTCAGTCTGACCAAAACAATTACATGTGATGTGTATGGGTGAGGAAAGTTACAGAGAAAACTGACACTGATTCATGATGACACACGGCCATCAGCCACGAGATTAAAACCACCTACCACCTGCTACGGTGCAGCGTTCTGCTCGGAAAGTTTGGTGCCTGACATTCATGTGATGTTACTTTGTCTGTTTTAATGTTGTGGCTGATGTGTGTACTTCATTCTTTTGCGTACCCCAGCAAACGCTTTGTAATTTAGCACTCGCAGCAAGGACAAGCAGCTCGACAGACGGGGAAATGAAGAAAAAGAAAGCAAAGCCTCAATCGGCAGTGCTGCAAGACATCAGTTCAGATATTAAACATATCATAGCATCACTCTTCAGGAAGCCACAAGTTGACTGTGCCAAGAGAAAATTATTTGTTTGCTTTTCTTTTTGCAGGTTTTTGTTTGTTTATTTGGTTTTTTTTTTTAAGAATTTGCAAGCAAGTGAAAGATTTGGGACAGGCACGTCTCACGCTGTTTCATTTCTTGAATGAATTGTCAAGTGGATTCATGTCTCTTTGTGGGTCAGAAAACCAGATTGAAAAAGTAACAAAGAAGAGCCTCGCTGTGGTTTTTTAAATGAAAGATGACGCTCTGCGAGTTAACTGGCTGAAAGCGCTTAAACAGTTTTCTGATCATGTCTCAGTGGACGGACAAAAATGATGCAAACGCTCCTCTTGTGCTGCAATAGATGGCTTCTTTTTAATTTATTTATTTTTCTTGACTGGTTATATTCACTTCTGATTGTCAGGATAAGGATGAAATGAATGCCCGACAACGCAAAATGAAGATCTTAAGACGCAACCGCTGCAGGAGGAAAAACATCTTACCTGCTGGTTAACTGGAAAATTCCGGTTAATCTTCTTCACCTGTGAAATTTTGTGAGAATGTCAGTAACTCATTAAAATATCTCCTGCTAACAATCAGACACAGCTGACAAGGTCGACATATTTGCAGGAGCCCACGAGGCCCGCCAATCAGTGACAAAGCTTCCAAGAATAAATAAACATGAATTACAGTTTCCGTGCTAACATACCACGGCACTGAAGGAAAACGGTTTGAGATACTTCATTTAGTCAAAGCATGCAAATTTCAAAATGAGATAGAGTCATTTCCACAAGGACCCGAGGCTGTTCCTAAAAGAAATCCTTTTTTTAAAATCCATTCTCTCTGTGGTAATAAAAGCGGGGGGACTACAGAGTGAGCAGTCAGCCTTTAAATTAAAACATTCTCCTCAGATCACAGGTATCGCTTGCACCTAATCCACACTTTACTATCAAAATAACTCTTCCTTAGGAGCTGAACACCAAATTAAGCTGTCCGGTCCTCATGCCGTCCTCCTATAGAAGGAGGAAAATGTCGCAGCAGCTTACTGTGAGATGTAGCTGAAGTTTGGGTCCAGAGAGAAAACAAGATTTTTGGGTTTTTTTTCCAGAAGATGAACTGTCAGGATGTGAGCCGGGTTTGAATATATGTGAGCGGTGACGGTGGGTTTGTTCAGATGGCAGGTCTATCCTGTTCTAACACAAATTAGGAAATTCTGAAGGGTCCGGTTTTTCAAGTTTTGCAGGAGCTTGTGCACATTTCACCGTATCTAAAAATACAAACAGGAGAAGTTTGACTGAAGTTTGTGGGCGCCCTGGAGGTGGCGTTTTCACACCTATAGTTTGTTCATTCTGCTTCCAATGAGTTGATGAGCTTGTGAACTTGCAGATTTTCCTCATTGTTTGGTTTCTTTTTGCACAAAGAAAACTCCAAGTGAACCAACATGCGTCACGAATAACCAGTCTGCTTACAGTCCGGATGTGTCTGAGGCAGGAGCCATAAAAGTAAACACAGGAAGAAGGAACCATATTCTGGATTAGTGGAAAACATGGATAATTTACTCCTAATGAGTTTTTATTTATCTGTGTGATTTTTCAGGCACCCGAGGCAAAACAAACAAACTGCTCTGGAGTTTGCACTCTGAGAACTGAGAACACCTTCAAACGGACTCAGTACAGTTTTTCTGGTCTTTACCTGACTATGATTACTGTGCCCACATCTGTACAAATGAACCACACCAAGGGGGAAAACAAAGCAATGTTTAAAGAGGCTAAAAACACCCTACGTCACAACAGGAGCTGGCAGTGGTGAAAGGAGTACTTGGACCCTTTCTTTGAGGGCATTTTCACACCTGCAATTTAAATCAGCTGATTAGTTTGTAAAGTTGCAGGTTTTTCTTGTGGGTTGGTTTCTTTTCACACAGAGAAAACTCTCAAAAGTGAATCAAAATGTGTCACTACACACCACATGAGAACGCTCAAGTCCTGTTATTGGGCAGATCTGTCTCAGGCGGGAGCAGCAAAAGTAAGTACAGGAAGAAGGTGCTGTGTTCTGGACTAGCAGATATCAAATGAGCCCTTGGTTCATTTTACACAGCTATGATACTTTTCCACATCTGGAAAGAATACCTGGCAACAGGATAGCGTACACCTGGTAGTTGGGTTGGATCAGGCTTAGATCACATTCTCACCTGAAATAAACCACTTTGGAGTTTGTTTGTAACCGCACAAAGACCACCTCCTCCAAAGGGTCTTTTGGTGGTTGCTTGGTCCACAAATGAGTGCAAGTGCTGCACAAATGAACTGCACCAAAGGCTAACGAGCCCAGTAGCAAAAACACCCTATATTCATATAGTTATATAGTATAACTGCACAAATTTAGCCAGTAAGTGTAAAAATAAAAGTTATGATGAATTTACTGGATTACACATTACACAGGATTGCACTTCATAGTAGAAGAAGAATAGTATCCACTGGGTACCAGACTCTCCAACAGGTGATATATGCCAGTATATGATAAATATCAGAGGTTTTTAATAAATCTACATAATAAGCATCACTGTTCAGCAGAAGTGAAAAAAACACCTTTTTTTCTTCCTTGTTGATATCTTCTAATTCACTTATTTGAAATCTTAGAGTTAACAGCTGCAGTTAAAACCTTTAAATGAATAAATATTGTTTAGTTCAAATGAAAATCATCAGAGAAAATATAAATAACTTTATATTTAAACACAGTACTTGTATAAATATACTTTGGTGCTTCCCACCACTGGGAGCTTGTGCTTTATTCGGTTGTTTCTAGAAACTAAATAACAGAGCAATTCAGTCTTCGGCTGTTATAAAAACAACTAAATTGCCTTCCAATTTAAGAAAATTGGCCTCAAAATTCATGACAGCACACTGTAAACCAAACAACTGCATAATGAAAGGTGAACAGCTCGCTGACAGAGGTGGACAGACACTTAACAGTGGAGCTGCTCAATGCCACTGAGCTACAGCTTTGAAAATTGCCTCGGAATCGAATCAGCACCTCTGAGCCCGAGTCTCGGCAGAAAATACTGGAACGAGCTGGAAAACCTGAAGCACAGCTGTGCTAAAGAAACCACAAGGTCAAGGCACAAAGACATAACCTGGTGTGGGGAGCAGTAAACAAGAAAGAAATGAGTCATGACGAATGAGTCACGATTCAAGCTCATTCTTACTTCTGATTTGATTCACAATTACATTTGGAAGGGAGGCGGCAGGACGAGTTCAGCCTACGATATCTGTTGCTTCGCTGTGCAGCTGACTAGTGGGAGTTGTTAGAAGCAATGGAGTAAAAAAAACTTCCCTTCATAATGTTTCCACACTCCTTCAAATGATGCCTTAAAGTGCGCTGCTAAATAAATTAAAGAGTGGTTTCATGAACACTGGGATGGCCTCTCCAGTCACCAGACCTGAACATCACGGAGTCTTTATGGGGATTTGTGCAGTGCTGAGTGGATTTCCTCCTCCATCATCGCCCAGAGAACTGGAGGCACTTTTTTCGTGACGAATGCTTCAGTGTTTGAGTACAAACAGATCAGCTGAAATGTAAGCGAGCGAAGGATGACCCCCGGCCCCCATTAGAGCCTTAATTTTAATATATCTCTGTCTCGTTTCCATGATTTTCTCTGGTTCTTAAGTCACTCTATTAACATTTACTTTGAGCTCACGATGCAAAGCCACAAATAAGTTTGGCGGTTTTATGGTGTTTTTAAAATCTTTGTAGGACAATTTGTGGCTGATGTGCAGCACAATCAACCAATCAATAAATCCTTTATTTGTCTCTGGAGCGTAATCAGTTTTATAGTGGTGGAATAACAACAGGATGAAACCACAAAGCACATTAGCATGTAATATAAATACAATTATTATGCAAATTCTAAAATATGCCAGACCCTGACTGGTTAAAGTGTATCTGGACTCACAATGTAGCTGGAAAACGCAAATTAAATAGTTATGTAATACTCTCTAATACTTACAGTATGTGTGGTTAGCTACACTGTGCAGACATGTTGGTCTGGTGATTTGCTCCAGACTAAAATATCTCAACATCTGCATCTGGATTTAGATTTTGGATAGATTTGTGATTCCCAAACATGCATGGAAGGAGTCGCCATGATGTCACCTAAAGCTTTATGTTCAACAGTTTCAAAGCACTAGCAGGAGGAGCCTTGATTTCTCCCGTAAGACAATTTTTTTGATTTGGATCATTTTTAAATATATTTTCAATGTAGTAACTCAATAGCATAGTGGTTTACACATGTGCCAACCATGGTTTGATGCTGTGAGGAGACACAAATTCCTTTGGGGTTGCGTCAGGAAGGGCATCAAATAGTCCTTTCACCATCACACTGCTTACTCAAAGGGGGCTGTTTATTGTTGGAGGGTCTTAACCTTACAACATAAAGCATCTTGAGACAACTGTTGTTATAAATTTGAAGCCATAATAATTAAAATTGTACTGAATTCAATTGAAAATATGCAGAGCTACCCACTGCAGTGACTCCTTCTGAATAGGGGACTAGAAGAAAGTGTTCTTGGGTTCAGTGAGTAGTGGGCTACTTTTCTTGTAGCCCTACTGCAACCTTCTCCTTTTCGTAATCAGATGAGTCGCCTCCTGCTGGCCATTAGAAAGAATGCAGCTTCCACTAGCTTTACCGTTCAGACCTCGAGGCTATATCTTTCAGTTAGCATAACAGATTTGTAAATCCCAAGAAAACAGACTGCAATTTTAAGACAGGGAACCTCTGACATTTTTTCAAAGCCCATCTTCATCTTCTGACATTTGTGTTAACAACTGGACAGCTTGCACTCTCAGCCTTTTAGTCATCATCCTCTCATCATGAACTGTAATCACATTGATGATCGCATAGTTTTAAATGTGGAGTTTTAATTTATTTGTGTGCAATATTTCACTGCATTTTCCTCAATCTGCTCACTCCTACAACAGTGAAAGGTTGTAAATGATGCAGTGTAAACAACAACAATGCAGTTTGTGACCATGGTGAGTGGTGAATGGATGTGTATTTGTGTAACACTTTCTAGTCTTGCTGACCACTTAAAGCATTTTTACACTGCGAGCCACATTTAGCCATCCACACATCATACAGTGCTTTTTTCCAAGCACTTAAGCTATCACAGCAGCTCACACACCGGCGGAAATATCCAGGGCAATCTGGGGCTTAGTATCTCGCTCAAGGACACAAGGCCACCACCAGCAGTACCGCTGAAGTCGGTGATGCTTCATGAACAAATCAGTGCAGAAAAAAAAAAAAAAAACATCTCACATGGAATATTACACTGCATCTGGACATTCTCTGCATTCACATTCACATGCAATTCACATGCTGATGTGAATTACTCAGTCACATCAGCATGTGACCAAAAGACAAGTGACAAGCTGCAAAATGAACCGTAAGATCACTTTCTGATGAGTGAAGTCAAAATAAAATTTTTTTAAAATGTCATGCAATAAGACACATTTTATTTCAGCAGATCCATCTACTGTATGTTACCAGCTCACTCACATCCTTCACTAAGTACTCAGGCCAGAACAGGAATACATTCTCAACTGTTAAAACTGCTGGCAGTGAGTCATCAGTGTTATGTTTAGTATGTCCCTCACTTCGTCCACTCTAATTAATCAGGGCTCCATTATCCCCCCAAGACTCTCTCTCTCTCTCTCTCTC